TCGCGCGTTGCGCTTAGCACTGTTAGGGGTGAAAGTGAGCTGGTTGATGCTAAGTGAGAATGTTAGTGAAAATCCACGAAAAGCTTCGCTTTCGTGTGGTGGGGAGGGTCTGGCTCTGCCAGACTGCGCTTGGATGCGTGGTCTGGGAGGAGCGCTCTGAGTCCGGGTTTGGGGTTCGAAACAACTGAAGTTTGAAGGTACCGGACGCAGAGGGGACAGACCCCCTGAGCGTGTTGTGTTCGAGTCTCGAGGTGCGGGATGGAGGGGACCGCGGAGGAGAGAAAAGAGAAAAACGAGACCAGACCATACCTGGAGCATGGCTCAAATACGAGTCGAGTGTCTCTTCGAGACGCCCGACCCCGACACAACACGAGACATGGGAAAGAAATGACAGAAAAACAGTTCATCGATTATCGCGAATACGAGAGGACAGTGTAGATACGCGTGCGAACGGGACAGGAAGTGCATATGAAGAACAGAATCATGTTAAGAGGCATGACGACGGTGGTATTCGTGCATGGAAGATTGTAAGCGTGTAAGTGCAATAGGGGAAGCAGAGGCGGATGCAATGAACAAGGGAAGAACGGATTCTATCTGACGCCAATAGTCGAGAAAAGCCCTGGATTTCCAGCGACCTTGGGTGGCCACCATGTCGGGATGAACGCCCTCTAGCAACAGCTCCGTGGCCCCACCTATGTGGAAGGTGTGACCCGGCATGCTCGCATGACCTGCTGCTACCCAGACGGCGTTGACACGGTCCATGAACCAAGATTTGGACATGGGAGCCCAGGAGCCATCTGCTGTTTCGAAGGAGAATAATGGGGTGTCAGAAGGATTGTTGATGTTGATGTCGAGATGTAGGAGTAGTGCGACGAGAGGACAAGTGGGATGGTCCCGAGCGGTGATACTGATGCTTGCACCCTCGGTACCCGTAGTCTTCGTCCAGGGGATGTGAAAGGAGGAGCGACGTACATTGTGCGAATCATGCGTGATGATGGGAAGTATGGACCGCGAGACGTGCTTGATGACATCAAAAGTATTGGGACTGGGAATGAGAAGTTCACCAAGACTGGTGAGGGGTTAGTGGTGTAGAGGAGTGGAAGTAGTGATGGATCCTACCGACAGCAACACCAAAATGCGACGCACGCGATGGTGAAGGTTGCTACGTCGAAAGAGTCTGTCAAATTGAGACCTTCACCCAGTTGAATGAGTGCGTCTAAGGTGACTGGAGGACGTTGGGCCCTCTTTGAGTTGGGTGGAACAAGGCGAGTGAGACCACATTTCATGTGATGAAGAAGAGGAGAATTTGCACCGTTCCACGGTGCACCATTGACTATGTGCCAGAAGTGTAGGCCGGAGAGCCAATTGCTGGCGGTACTGTCTGAGATGGAACCCGCCGCTTCTGCGATGAAGGCAGCGAGTAAGGTATCAGAGGCTGGCATGCGTAGATGTTCAGGAATCTGCAGTCTGTCGCAGTATTGGGTGAAACGTAGAAGGCCCGCGCCGTAATTGCTACGGGTGTTTTCATCGAGAGACTGAGTGAGTACGGAGTACATCTTGAGAATGGTGGGCTCAGGGAAGATTTGTTCAAGCTCGTGCTGAGCGTTGAAACCGTGTGGAGTGGTCCAGAGGAAAACTCGTTCACTGGCGAGGACATGTGGACGGTGGGCAGAAGGGGTGATGACGGCGTCTTTACGGGGCCTGCGTGGTACCCATAGACGTCCATCGGGACGTACGACCGCAGCTTCACGGATTTCGACAGAATCTAAGCGATGGGAAATGAGTGGAATGTCGAAGACGAGCTCGAGCTCAGTATCAGCAGATGGTTCCATAGGTGATGAAAGGTGTGAGTTCTTCGGGAATGGGAATGCGGAATGGGAGACGAAGGGAAGGGTGAGGAAGAATCCCCCGCGAGATGGGGTCGGCGATGTTGATACTGGTGTTGACATATATGAGGGAGATGGACAGATCCGCCACTTGAAGCATGGCCTCCGTGCGTTTGATGCACGTGTTGGACGCAAGGTTGGAACAATGACCCTTGCGAAAGCAACCGATGGCGCCCTCATTGTCACTGTGGATGAGTACATCGGCATTGGAGATGCCAAAGTGGGAAGTGACGGAAACAGCGAATTCGATGGCGATCGTCTCCAACCAGCCGATGTCGTGCCCGATTGGGATACGCCATCTGTCTCATGTGATCCATGCCTCCCAGAGGCCATTCCAGCAGAGACCGATGCCAGTGCCAGTGGATGCGTCGACCCAAATGTTATAGTCGCGCGTGGGAGGTCTGGGAGTAAGGAGACGGGGATGGTAGTCGTTCTCCAGAAGGTAGAGCCACCATTGGAGGTCAGATTTGACGGAGTTCCACATGTAGCGGGGAATGTAGTCCGCTGGAAAATCTGCGATCCAGCGGTATAATGTGGAAAGGTAAGCGCGACCATGCGGGAATACGAAGGCGCAATGAGTAAGAGTCCCGCTGATCTTCTCAGCCGGTTTCTTGAGAACTTGATGCGTAGAGTATGCGTCCAGGAAGGAACGGAGACGCAGAATGTACTTAAGACGTTTGGCCTCAGGGAGGGCGACCGTGCGAGCGGGAAAGTTGAAAGTGTAACCGACGTAGTCCTGTACATCGGCGAAGTCGGAGCCTTTGTCCTTGTGCCAAGGCACGTTGATCGGACCGATGTAGTCTTTGGCTGAGTGAATGTCATAGCGATAGCAGAATAGTATGCTGTTAGACATGCCAGTGAAGGAACCGTCTGGATCTGGGACTCGCACGATGAGGAAGTCGTCGACCCACTTCCACGCGGGACCAATATCCGCGTGCTTCCAGATGTCCACGGTGGCATTGGCGACTTCTCCCTGGAGTCCGGCCGCGGAAGCTGCGCCGAAAGGGAGGTTATGGTCGATATAGAAGAGATCGTGAAAACGCACCACTAAGTAGCGCTTGTGATCTGGAAGGATGGGAATGGTGCGGTAGGCACTTTCGATGTCTAGAGAGGCTGCTTGAGTGCCCGGAGGGGCGGTAGCGACCTGAGACAGAAGGTAAGCGGGAGCGCTTGAATGAGGGATCTGGGAGGATCTGAGGGGAGTAGGTGCTGCCCCGGACTGCCCGAAGGGTTGCACTCCTCAGCGATGTTGAGTCACGAGGTCATGTAACCAGACGGTAGTGGAGGAAGGGGGAGAGCAAGAGTGGGAAGTGAGGAGAGGAGAGGGAACGTACAAAAGAAGCAACTTGTTCCGCTGTACCCCAACGAGTCGGGTAGTCTTTCGCGTCAATTTCATCGTTGATAGAACGACCCAGAGTGCCCTTGTAGGATAGGTTGCGACAAACGCGGTGTTTGGGTGGTTGACCTGGAGCGCCGTCTTTGGAGGCAATTTGGAGAGGGGAGGAACAGAAAGGCCCGATTTTGAGTTCAAGTTCTTGCTGGGTGAATGGACCACTGAAGCGTCCCAAGGCGAGTTCGGAGTTGATGTATTCTTTGATGACGTGTTCGTGCTCGTACGCGCTGGGAAGATTGGGAGGCGCGTAGGTGGAATGGATGGCTTCGAGTCGACCAAGTGGGAAGCCGTGCTTTAATTTGAACACGAGTTCTGGATAATCATCAAGAAGATTAGCGTTGCGCAAAAAGGTATCGAGATTGTCGGCTGAATAAGGTGAAATAATTTTGGCGAAGTCTGGATCATTATCGTATGGAGTACAAGTGATGCTGAGGTGGTCTAAATATACATGGTGAGGTGCTGCAATAATGGGAATAGGGTTCGTGTCCCAGCAAGAAAAGGGAATGGAGGACGAATTAAGAGGCCAGGCACTTGCGACTGCAGGCACCATGGTCAGTGGACCCGCAGAGGGAGCAGGCGTGGATTTCGCCTTCTCTGTGGGAGCGCTTGGTGCAGGTGCGCTTGCCGTTGCAGTAGATATTGTAGTCGACGCAGTACTTGACGTCGCCATTGGCTCATGACACGAGTTGCTTGTTATTGACCTTCGAGTGTGACGTCGAAGTCGACGACAAGGCGTCGGTGCAACTGGGGAAGGTGTGTCCAAGTTGTCCACAGGCCAGACAGAGGGGAGGGAGACGTTCAGAGTCGTTGGGTTTGGTGGGGGGGCCGAAAGGATTTTTCGGTGTTGGGGTTCTTGTGAAAGGAGGAGTCTCTAGAGGGATATGGTTCGTGGCGATGGCTTTTAAGACCGGTGACGGCGTCACTGACGGCTCTTAAGGATTCGTATCTGGCAACTCGACCTTTAACGTCTTCGAATTGGCGAAAGTACTTAACTTCGTCCAGGGTTTTTTTTTTTTTTTTTTTTTTTTTAAATCATATTTATTGTCCTTTGGGGTCGTAGACCCTATGTCGGACATAGCCCTTTACACGGGGGGCTGACTCCCGCTTAACTATCGTAGGTGTATATAGTAAACTATGTGCTTTGTTGAGTAGGTGTACGCGTACTCCGTCGACATGTTGTCGGGCGAAAGCCGACGTCGATTTCGTACAAGGGGAATAAGGTGATGTAGTGATGATGGTCAGTTGGATCTCTACCTCTACCATGGGTGTGCGTCCAGCGCTGGTTCTTCCCTTCAGGCTCGGAGTGTTTTTGTTTTGATAGTTATGTTTGTGCTTGCGTATGTATCTGTTTTTCATATTGACAGTGTTTTAAGTTATGAACGAGCTATTGAGTCGAAATCTCACCGAATGTGGGTTTGAATCTTTCCGTGCTGTTGACATATCGCATGAGGGGCGCGGTCGCTTGGTCTGAGGTGAGCAGGAATGTAAGGGAGTTGGCTTTGCGTCGTAGCGAGTTGGAGAGTATATGACGCTCTCTAGCGTATTGTGGGCAGTCTAGCAGGAAGTGTGGGAACTGTTTCCTTCACATTTGGGCAATGTGGACAATGCGGCGTGTCGTTCTTCCCGATTCGGTGTAGATGCTGATTGAGTGGAGAGTGGCCGGTGCGAAGTTGCATTATGATGCTGGTCTGACGTCTTGGGAGAGACACTACTAGTTTAATGAACTTTTTGGAGGGCATGCTGGCGTCTATGGTTGATGCTTTTGCATAACGTGGTGATCTCTTCCACGTTGCTGACCATTGGGTGCGCAGGTCTTCTTGATGCCACTGTTTGATGGCTGCGGCGCTGTCTGGGAGTCGACCATGACGGAGGAAGGGTGGTAGGTGTTCTTTCATGCTCGTGTTTCCTCTCTTTTCCGCTGCTTCCTTGGCCAATACGTCCGCTAGCTCGTTCCCTTCTACCTCCTTGTGCCCCGGTATCCACCTTACTGTCAGATCGAAGTTGAGGCCATTGTCGTCTCTTTGCTTTGCTAGCTGCGCTGTCATTTTCCGGAAATGTTCTACTAAGTATCCGCCTGAGTGAATGTGCTGGCTCTCACCGGATTGTATAGCTGCCTGATTGTCAACTAGTATCGAGGCTGGGTATCTCATGTTTCTCTCCGTCGCGATGAGCTGTGCCGCTAATGATAGGCCAATGACTTCCACCTCGAAGACTGTGTGCTTGCGTTCTGATCCAAGGTGGTATCTTAATTTACGAGGTGCTTGTCCCGCTCGTAGTAGGATCGCTGCTGCGCCCACTTTCCCATTGTGCCCTGAGCCGTCCGTGAATATTTGCACTTCGTCTTTCAACTCCTTTTGTTCCTTGATTGCGTCTTTTTCCTTTCGATTGATGTGAGTCTTGTAGACATTCGATCTGTGGCTGTTCGATCTGTCGACGAAGTCTAGTGTCTCGATGTCTTTGGGGTAGAGACGGTAGGTGGCTAAGAGGTTGTGTAACGATGATCGGTGGCGTGCTGTATTTCGATAACGGATGATGTGTTGTAGGTGTGGGTGTAGCGGGTGTCGTTGTGGAAGCGTGGCAAGTCGTAGAGCTGCTCTATGACATATCTGTTGTAGAAGAAGGGGGATTGGTAGTAGGTTAGCGTGATTGTCCAGTATATCTGTGGCGGTTGTCCTCATTGCGCCAGTTATGCTGATTGCTGCTATCCGTTGGATACTTGCCAGACGTTTGGCTACACCTATTGATCCCCTTTGCGTTGTCGTTGTGTCGTTACGGAGTGTGGGCTTGAACCATAGGTTTGCTCCGTATGTGAACTTTGGCACCGCGAGGGTGAGATATAGTTGTCGCATTAGTTTTGCTGAGATTCCATTGACCGGTGTGGGAGAAATCGTAGAAGTCCGCTATAGTGATAGCGTACCGATCCTGCTGGGTGCGAGAATAGTAGTCGACCCAAGGGGATAGCTCTGAGAGCAGTTCCTCAAGTATGAGCGAGGGGAACAGTGAAGAAGGAAGTGATGCGCTGAAGACAGAATGGCTGTGTATGCGAGGAGATGCGGAGATGCGAGAATGCGCGGAGATGCAAGGTATGTGGAGATGTGAGGTATGCAGATGCGGAGATGCGAGGTATGCGGATGCGGAGAAACGAGTGAATGTCTAGAGGGTACCAGGTATGCGAAAAGGGTAGGGTACCAGGTATCGGAACAGGTAATCGGGTAGAGCGAACTAGGTACCAGGTATATTGCGAAGACGTGCAGAAACCGCCTTGCAAAGGAACTCAACTAGGACTAGCAATAGTCAACTGTCAATGGCGATGCGAGCGTTCGCGCGGGATGAGAAGGCAAACAGGTGATTGCTCAAGCAAGGAAAGACAAGGTAAGACTAAGCTAGTGACTCCGCAACACACAACCAGAGAGGGAATGTAGGAAAAGTCTTCGATACCAGTCCGCAACGTAGTATATAACAGAGTCCGTAAGAAACCGGAACTGTATAAGCGAATGCATATGTACACGAAGTCGGAGGGGGATAATATGTAAGTAGCACTATGCGACCTCGTGCATGGGAACTGATATGTAACTGGTCCTGCGAACGGTTAGGAATGACTAACTAAGGATGAGAACGCACCAGTGAGGACGGACGGATGCAGACAGGACATGGACGGATAGTGCGTTGCGATGCGATGAGTGCATGGATTCCGCAACCTCGTGTGATGGTCCGCAACGGCCTGTGGAAGGTATGCGTGACTTCGTTCAGTAAGGGGAAATGGTGCTGTACGGGGCTGCAGCCAGATCGTCTCCTACACCTGCGGGAGACTCAAACACTGACCATCCCTGGTCAGCAGCATGCGTGGAATGTGGACTTAGCAAGGGACGTCCACGGATAAGTCACGTGACCGGGTGTGTCGGAACGGTAAATGAAAAGAATGCGGATGCCGGTGATCGGAGTTGCGGACTTTGGTGCTTCGACCCGGAACAAGGGTTCCGTTGTTAACACGTTGCGCACGCAGTTTTCTCGTTCCCTATAACCATCTTCCTTTCCATTTTTCTTTCTCTTTCTTCCCATCCTCTACCATGCCTCCCTTCGTCTTCATCAACAAACCTCCAGTGGATGACGAGTCTGCACGTTTGCGGAAGGAATTCGTGTCCCTTGTTGCGAAGTTGGACGTGACTATGAAGGTCGTTCCGGACGATCAACCAGAGTTGATGGAGGAGAAGCGGGATTGGAATAGGCAATGGGATGAGTTGTCCGTGAGTACCTGTTGCTTTCCTTATTGATTCGCATTGACTGGCGCGTAGGCTTCGTTTAGCACATGCTTTGCTGCCGCGCAGAAGCGTGGGCTACAGTTCTCATTGTCCGCAGCCGATACCGCCTTGGTCAAGAGCGGGAATCTGACATATGCAATGCACGAGTGTCAGTTGACCGAGAAGATGCAGGACGACCAGGAGAAGATGGATGTGGTTTTGGGCAACGCTAGTGCTGGTGAGGAGGATGCGGATGGAGAGCCTGAGGTTGCGAGTACCAAGGTAGCGACTTCTACCAAGCGTCCACGTAAGGCGGCTGGTAAGGGAGCTGGGAAGACGAAGAAATCTCCAGAGGTAGTTCCGTCTGAGGCCGATGAGCCGCAGGAACCAGTATGTCGTTGTTCAGTGTCTTGCGCAACGGAGATGCGTTTGGCTGACGATGCGAGTTGCAGAAGCTTGGTGGTCGTGCGATCGCCCCAGGACCTAAGGTCGACCACGTTCTTCCCTGTGCCAATTGCAGGAAGCGTGACAAGCTTTGCAGTGGTTCGCGGGGCCAGCAGTGCGATCCTTGCAAGGTTGCGAGGACCAAGTGCGAGTACTCGTCTTTCGGAAAAGCGTCTGCGAAAAAGGGTCCCTCTGTTGCGTCGACGCCTCCGGTGGCTAGTGGATCTCATTTGTCCGCACCTGGCCCTATCCGGCGTACCGTTTCTTCTCCGGAACGTCAGGTGTGGGATCCGATCGAGGTATCTGATGGTGAGATGGGGAGTACTGCTAGGCGTCGTTCAGTTGCGACTGGGAAGGGGAAGAAGATAGCAGTGGAGGATGATGTTGAGGATGCGGAGGACCTGGAGGAGTTGCATGAGATGCGCCAGGTGCGTGCAAAGCTCATGCAAGCGTATAGCATGATCTTCGAGGCCACCCTCGCACTTGACAAGAGGGAAGCGCGCATCCTTAAGAAGCGTGCCGCTCGCAAGTAGATACCTATCTCAACCTGTTTTTCCATCGCATCCTGTTTGTACAAATAGAGGTGATCCTGGCGTCCGGTCCAATCCATATCCATGTCTGTCCGGGTCCCCACTGAATGCCTAATTAACAAGAAAAAATGGTAAGTGCGTGAATACGGTGCTATTTCGAATGAGAGTCAAGAATTTGAGAACGTGTCTTGTGCGTGCGGAGTACCGTCCGTCTTATCTTCGTCGTGCAACTGCCTTCCTCTGTACCAATCCTGTGCCCTGGTTGCGGTGAGTATATGGTGTGAACTTTATATGAGTCAATGTGCGTGATGCGATAGCCGCGTGCGAATGAGAAAGAGTATCCGTTGGTTGCGCATCTAGTCCAATCCTTTCTGTCCTTATATGTATGTAATTGAGTCTGTGTGCGTTGAGTGCGATGTTTCTGAATTAGTTGCGGGGTGGTTATATGGTAAGAGAGCACCGGACGAAACCCGGGGTAGGAATGCATACTATATTGTTTTGATATATTCTGAGACGAAGCGAGCGTATGTGTTGAGTGATGAAATTTGAAGGTTGCGGGGGTGGAAACGAGTGAGCGTAACGAGTGTCGGGCAAAAGGAATGTGGGAGTTTTATGTGTCTGGGTCCGCATCTTCATCTTCCGGTTCTTCAGTCTCTTCTTCTGCAAGGTCATCCAGATTGGCGTCGCGGATGGTCTGAGCAGGCCTCATCTTGTTTGCATCCGGGGCAGAACTTGACCCAAGATTCCGTGGCGATGCGAATTTCCTTGCGACTATTAGGATCCGTAAGCGTGATGTCTTGTTCTCCGTTGGGAAGGTCTTCGGTACGGCAACTTGTAAGAGTGAAGAATGGTCGTCCGAGGAGTATGTCGAAGTGTGCGGATTCTATTACCTGTACTTGGAACCACATTTCCCCCGTACCAAAATCTAGCGCAAGGTTTTCGATGACACCGAGCGTGCAATCTGTGGAAGTATTGACTGATTCCATGGTTAGCTTGTGATCCGAACGCAAGACTTCCGATCCGAGACTTTTCCATACTCTCCTTGGCATTACGATGCATTCAGCGCCCTGGTCTAGGATGCAGGAAAGAATCCGCCCTCCCTTCAAGGTTGCCTTGATACATCGCAGCGCTTCGAAGTGTTCTGATACAATGCGTCCATCGTCTGCTCGCGGGAGACAGTGATCATACTTTCGTACGAATGCCTCGATCTCAGAACGCGAGGTTAACTCATTGACTGATACCATACCTTCCATGACTCGCTTCGGGGTGATGAGCTCCCGAAATACCTTGCGGATGTCAGGTGAGACTGCCATGAGCTCTCGTATGGGCACATTGACATTTGAGTCTAGCATGCGGTCCACAACTTGCTTTTCGGCATGCTTGTCTTCCAGTGGGAACCCATATCTAAACTTCGCAGAGGGGTTAGTGTTAGTTGCGGGCGTAGATGATGAAGCAGCAGCGTTTCCCGTAGTGGCAGTGGCTTTCGGAACTGTCGCAGGATTAGGTGCTGGTCTGGTGGTAGCTTCCTGGACCTGGGGCGATATGATCTCTTCGGTCGGCGCTATTCTGGATGAGGGCCCAGGCTTGGGACGCGTGGATGACTCTACTCCTTCAAAACGAACATTCTTACCCTTCAGGTCTGATTTGCGTGCCCGGGTGTTAGCATATGCTGTACAGGCTGCGATAGCTGCGTCCTCTAACTTCTTGAGCTCCTCATCAGGCTCCGCTTCTTCCGTGGCGCGAGTGAGCGAATATGCTGATGCGTCGATGTCGGTCTCTACTTGTATCCTTGGTTGAGCGCGACAGTATAACCCTGCAATCACGGTCGCATTGGCACCGGTTGCGGGGGTCTGTGATAGGAAGCGGTCGATGCGCTCCTGGTAAGTGCCGCTATCCCGATGTCCTGGGATACCTCTACCATCGGACATCACAAGTCGTCCTCCTTCATCTTCTACACACTTGCCATCGCGAATATACTGGTCGCGTGTCCTACACCATCGTTGGTAGTGGTCAGCTCCTCCGCAGAAATGGCATGGGCCTTGGGCTCTCTGCATCGTATACTCCTGTTTGACTACCACTCCTGGGCTTGGTTGCGGGCGTGGTTGTGGGGACGGAACATATTGCTGTGGTTGAGGTGCGTATGAAGTGCGAGCGGATGGTTGCGCTGGTGCTGGAATCGATACTGCGGATGTTCCTGGTAGCAGAAATACTGCGGCCTCGTAGACTTTGTCGATTGGGTATGGTTCTCCGGGGTGGAGGTTGGTGTGCAGTATACTGAGTCGATGTCTGAGGTGGGCGCCTATGTCTGCATGGAATCCGTCTTGAAAGAGTTGGTCGCGTTCGAGTTCCGACAGCTTCTTGTTCGTGAGTAGGAACTTGGATATCTTGAAGAACTTCCGGTAGTATACCCCGAGTTCCGCTTGCGAATTGATAGGCAGACGGGATTGCTCTGCGGATAACTGTGTAAGGTCAGCGCGGGTGAAGCGTCTATCGCCTTCGCAACCCGGGTACAATGCTTTGACAGCTTTGACAAACTTGTCCCAATCATTACCTGCGGCCTCGTCGAGTAGTGCCCAAGTCTCCGATTCTTCTGAGGATGCATATCGCATAGCTGCTTTGATGCGTGCGGCATCGACTACCTGGGCCATATCCGCAATCTCATTGACATCTTCGATGAATTCCAGAAGCTTGTCTGGAGCGCCTTCGAACTTTGGTGCTTTGTCCGTACCCCTGAGAGGCATCCTGAAAGTGTTAGTCGACATGGTTGCGGTAGGAGCGGAAGGTACTGGGGCGATGGTAAAAGGTACTATGGGAGGAATAGGGATACGCGGAACAGACGGAATCAGAAGGGATATCGTGGGTAGCTTCTGCGGAGAAGGTGCGAAATGGGGAAGGGATTCTAAGCGGTTACGAGGAGATGAAAGAGGTAAGGAGATAACGGGTAGTGTTAAGCGCGGAAGTTCGGGTGTATGAGCACGGGTAGGATTACTAGATGAGGTCAGGGAGGTAGCGGTAGAGGGAGTGTCTAATGCGTGGGATGGTTTGTCTGTGGGGAAGTCAAATGATCCGGGGAAAAACGGAGGTAGCTCGTCTACAGTATCTCTCTCTTCTTCGGAAAGCGGAGAATCCGGGGTGAGACGCAGGGGTTCGTCGTCTGAGGATTGGGATTGCGGATGCGATCTTGATGGTCCGGGTTGGGGATGATCCTCTTCCTCTGGGATTGGTGCGAAGAAGCTTTCTTGGTCGAGGCTAATAGATGCTAGCTTCTGTTTCGCAATGCGGGCCGGTGTTTGTCTTAGCGATCTTCCGACTTTCTCGGCTATAATCCCCTCGCGGTGGGCTCCAGTTGTGGGAGAAATCGTAGAAGTCCGCTATAGTGATAGCGTACCGATCCTGCTGGGTGCGAGAATAGTAGTCGACCCAAGGGGATAGCTCTGAGAGCAGTTCCTCAAGTATGAGCGAGGGGAACAGTGAAGAAGGAAGTGATGCGCTGAAGACAGAATGGCTGTGTATGCGAGGAGATGCGGAGATGCGAGAATGCGCGGAGATGCAAGGTATGTGGAGATGTGAGGTATGCAGATGCGGAGATGCGAGGTATGCGGATGCGGAGAAACGAGTGAATGTCTAGAGGGTACCAGGTATGCGAAAAGGGTAGGGTACCAGGTATCGGAACAGGTAATCGGGTAGAGCGAACTAGGTACCAGGTATATGCGAAGACGTGCAGAAACCGCCTTGCAAAGGAACTCAACTAGGACTAGCAATAGTCAACTGTCAATGGCGATGCGAGCGTTCGCGCGGGATGAGAAGGCAAACAGGTGATTGCTCAAGCAAGGAAAGACAAGGTAAGACTAAGCTAGTGACTCCGCAACACACAACCAGAGAGGGAATGTAGGAAAAGTCTTCGATACCAGTCCGCAACGTAGTATATAACAGAGTCCGTAAGAAACCGGAACTGTATAAGCGAATGCATATGTACACGAAGTCGGAGGGGGATAATATGTAAGTAGCACTATGCGACCTCGTGCATGGGAACTGATATGTAACTGGTCCTGCGAACGGTTAGGAATGACTAACTAAGGATGAGAACGCACCAGTGAGGACGGACGGATGCAGACAGGACATGGACGGATAGTGCGTTGCGATGCGATGAGTGCATGGATTCCGCAACCTCGTGTGATGGTCCGCAACGGCCTGTGGAAGGTATGCGTGACTTCGTTCAGTAAGGGGAAATGGTGCTGTACGGGGCTGCAGCCAGATCGTCTCCTACACCGGTCTTGATAGGCGTCTTAGTTGCAAGATGTATTCCGTGCCCTTAGCGATAGCATGTCCTGTGTGGTGTTTCCATGTTAGTTGTTGATTGACGAGGAGTCCAAGAAAACGGTGCTGCTCAGCGGGATGAATTGTGGTGTTCTGTATGGTGATTGATGGTCGGGTTCGGGTTTTACTGTGGGTAAAGTCTATTAGCGCGAATTTGTTCACTTCAAACCTCGAATTGTGCGTTCTTGACCAGTCTAGCACGCCGTTCGTGCGTTCCATCATATTCTTGAGCGTGTTGTGGGTTTCTTCGAATGTTGATCCTACTGCTATGTATGCGGTGTCATCTACAAATGCCAGCGCTGTTTCTTTATTCTGAGGGTTAGCGACTTCGATCAGATCAGCATTATAAATTAGATAAGCTATCATAGATAGAGGGTCTCCTTGACCTATCCCATTGCGTACTTGTATCCAGTCAGATGTCGAGTCATTGAATTTTAGTTGTGTTCTTCGTCCCGTTAGCATGCGTATGGTGAATTGGACTATTTCCGGTGGTAGTCTTCTTTTCTTCATATTGTGGGCTAATCTATCAGTGACCGCGTTGGGGAATGCCCCCTCGATATCGAGGAACAGGATCGAGGCTACTTTTCCGTTGCGCCATGCGTTTTTGACCGTTACTTCTAATAGATGCAGGGAGTCCGTGGTGGTGCATCCTGGGCGACCCCCGAAGTGCGTATTGGTGAGGAGATTATGTTGTTCCATGAGGTTCGAGACTCGCTCAGCTATGATTGCAGTTAGTAGTTTACATGTGGTGTTGATAAGGGCGATGGGGCGGTAGGCCTTTGGTGTCGTATAGTCGGATTTGCCGGGTTTCTTGAGGACCACCGTGGTGAACTCGCGCCATGGGTCGAAGTATGTATCTAGTTTGAAGACTGCATTAAATAGGTGAGTGAGGTAGGGGGTTAGTATGTCCGAAGCTCGTTTAAATACTATGTTGCATATGCCGTCTGGGCCCGGCGCCTTATACGGACTCGTGTTCGCGATTGCTTTAGCTACTTGTTCTTGCGTGATTCTTGCGAATGGGCTGATTGGATCTGGGTAGTTGTAGTTGGTCGGAACAGAGCTGTTGATCGGCGGAGGAGGGAAGAATGCACATGCGAGGGCCTTGCTTTTCTCTTCGTTCGTAATGGCTTCGATCGCGTTACCTTCCGCTGTCTTGGTCTTGAGTACTGGTACGCTTGTTCGTCCTCCATCGCTGCTCGGGGTGGCGACGTAGCGGTTCGCTGTGTAGACTGATTGTTGGTCTAGCTCCTCAAGGAATTCTATCCAGTGTTCGCGTTTGGTCTTGCGGATCGTTTCAGTCACTTGATTGCGGTACCGGCGATGTTCCTCATGGACAGGGGTGATCAGGTAGTCCTCTCATCTTATACGATAAATCACTTAGCTTGTTTTTCTGTTTCATCATTAATGTTAGTTCTTTTGTCCACCACCTCTTCGCGTGGGGACTGGGCTTTGACGTTGGGACTTTCTCTTTGATGGTTTGTTGAATTGCGGTGCTGAGATTGGTGGCGGCTGTTTGGAATTGGGCTTCTGTCGTGATGGTGACCGGAGGGGGGTATTCTGCGAGGTTTCTGTTGAGCGCTCCGCAAAACTGTTCCCAGTCTACGTCTCGATAGTTATAGGTCGTCGTCGTTGATGCTCTTGGGATGGGGAGGTCTAGGGTACTGTAAATAGGAACATGGTCAGTGCATGGGGGGCGCCGTCTTGGTGCGGTGTCGCATAGGGTGAATGAGTCGATTGTGTGCGTGGTACATAGTACATTGTCGGGCCTTGTCCAGTTTCCGCTACTTGTCGATTGTAGTGTGGGTTTGTTCTTCGGTAGAGCCATTTGAAGGTCGTGATCTGCCATGAGTTCGATTATTCGTTGCGCCGCTTCTTGAGCTTCCGGCGGTGTGCATAGGTGAGCGTTTCGATCTTCTTCCCAAAGGTGGTGGTGCGCGTTGAAGTCCCCTAGTATAACTATATGGTCCAGATGCGTGGGTCGGATGGTTCTGATTTCCCTGTTGATGAACATTTTCAGTGCGGGTATGATCTCCCGTTTTCTGGTGTCGTCGTAGATGTTGATTAGGGTGAGTTTTCCGAAGGTTCCTTGCATCTGGATGATGACTGCGTCAGATGATGGATATGGTATCTGTCTCCAGTTGTTAGTGTTGAGGCGTTTGTGGATGAGTATTACTGCGCGTGATCGGATTCCGTTTCTGAATTTGTTAGTAGGATAGATAACGTTCCAGTCTGGGGTTGCTTTCGTGTTCCCCAGGGTATCGATGTATGGTTCCTGTAACGCAACTATGTCGAATGATTTTGCTGTGAATGGCCCGCTTAGTATACAATGCTGCGCTGTGTCCGATTTGTTGAGGTTTTCTTGCCATATGCGTAGCCTTACTGCTTGGTCGTCGGGTGTGTTAGACATTATTTGAGAAGGAGTGGAAGAGGTCTGGCGAGGGGGAGCGGTTTGGTGTTGGCGGGGATCGTCGAGATGATAGTCCTGTGTTACGTGGAAGGTGAGCTGTGCCTCTCATTGGTCGTGCGCCTCTGGGATTGATGTATCTGTCTAATGTATCTTGATTGCGATTGGGGCCGGGGTAGGGGTTGGGGTTTGTATTTCGTTGTTGAGTTTTGAGGGTGTTGGCTGGTCTCGGAGGGGCTGATACTTGGGTCCAGGGTTCCTCTGTAGGGAAGAACGGCATGGTATTCTCGGGGTATCTTCTGTCCATGTCCGCGCATCGCCTTTCGAATTCTGGGCAGCTGCGTTCCCAGCTGGCATGGCCTTCCTCTTCGCATGAGATGCATTTGCGGATATGTCGTTTGTTGCATTCACTAGTCCTGTGTTCTTCAGAGCAGTTAGCGCAGACGTCTTTGTGGGACGTGCATTCTCGAGCTATGTGACCAAAGTGTTGACACTTAGCGCATCTGATGGGTTCTCTTTTATTCTTCTTTGCCTGCAATCTATTTTTCTGCACCGTTATCCCATTTCGTATTCCTTCGTTTGCGTTGTTGGGGTTCTTGAGGATGATTAGTAGGTGAGCGACTCGTTGTTGTTCGTTACGCTTGTTGGGTGGCTTGATCCATCTTGCCAGTGTAATGGTGCCTTCTTCCCAGTTGTTCTCTGCTTCGAGTTCTCGTATATGGTTTTGATTATCGGGGTCGTACGTCAGTGGGACAAATTGTATAACTACCGGGTATCCTCTGTCCTTGAAAACGGCTTTCGGGTCTAGTTTTTTGATGAGTTCTTCTTTTACGGTGTTTTTCTTGAGGAATTCTGCGGCTTCTGCTGTCGTCATTTCGATTACGGTTCCTCCATTGCGGTATTGATTGATGTTCTTGATGACTAGGATAGGCTTGTCGGCGTCGTCGAGGGAGGATATTGCTGTTTGTATTTTCTCCACGAGTTGTGCATGAGATACCTTACTTGGGGCTATTGGTCCATCCAAGGTTACGTTTATGAGTATTTGACGGGCCTTGATTGCGTCTCTTGCAGCTATCTGTGTGGTATGATCATTAGCGTTGTTGTCTAGTCCCGAGAGCAGGGCTGTTTTGTATCCGTTTTTGTGGACTGATTCCTTGACTAGTGTTGTTACTTCTTGTTGTATCTTCTCTAGGCTGGTTTCAATGTTGGTCGTGTTGGTAGTTCCGTTTTGCGCTGTGTTGATGGTTGGAGTGATTTGTTCTATTGTGTTCTTGATTTCTTCGATTGTGTTGGTGATCTTGTCTATTGATGCTTCTGCTTTCTTCATTGTTTCGTTTATCGCATCTAGGTTTGCATTCTCTTGGATGTTGGTGTTTGCCAGTTTGTTGAGCCGAGTAAGAGGTTCTTCTAGTTGCTTGCTTATCGCGTCTGATATTGTCTTCGCTTTTTGATTGTGATCTGTTTTGAAGAGTAGGATGGCGATGGCTCGGATGATATCGATGTGCATTGGTGTGAGCGATGGTGCTTGAACTGTGAAGTCTAGGAGAGCTGTGGTTAGTGTATCTATGGTTATTTCTGCTGCTGGCGTGATGAATAGTCTGGATTCTAGGACTGTTCTTGCTGATTGTTCGTCTATGATTTCTGAGGTGTTGGATGGGTCACTGATCAGTTCCGGGATGGACCTTTTGGATGATCTGAATGTGACCGCGTTTCGCTTGGGCCTCGTTTGTTTTGTATTTTGTGAGTTTTCTGGAGGGTCTGTGGACATTATGGGGTGTTAGTATTATTGTATTGGGTCTGTATTGATGTTGATTGCTATGCGCTATGGCGCCTTTTGGGCTGCCTTGTCTCTTTCGAGCTCTGCTTTGGTTGAAGGTTTTCGGGGTCCTTCTTGGGGTGCCACTTGGTACAGGTCCAAGAAGCGATGATCCAAGTCGTTGCCCACTCTTCGCAGCGTGTGAGTTTCTTGATCCTCCTTCGAGCTCGAGCCATGCTGATCCAAGTCGTTTCCCACTCTTCGCAGGATGTGAGTGTCTTGATCCTCCTTCGAGCTCGAGCCATGCTGATCCAAGTCGTTGCCCACTCTTCGCAGCATGTGAGTGTCTTGATCCTCCTTCGAGCTCGAGCCATGCTGATTCAAGTCGTTGCCCACTCTTCGCAGCGTGTGAGTGTCTTGATCCTCCTTCGAGCTCGAGCCATGCTGATTCAAGTCGTTGCCCACTCTTCGCAGGATGTGAGTGTCTTGATCCTCCTTTGAGCTCGAGCCATGCTGATTCAAGTCGTTGCCCACTCTTCGCAGCGTGTGAGTTTCTTGATCCTCCTTCGAGCTCGAGCCATGCTGATCCAAGTCGTTGCCCACTCTTCGCAGGCTGTGAGTTTCTTGATCCTCCTTCGAGCTCGAGCCATGCTGATCCAAGTCGTTGCCCACTCTTCGCAGGATGTGAGTGTCTTGATCCTCCTTTGAGCTGGAGCCATGCTGATCCAAGTCGTTGCCCACTCTTCGCAGCCCGTGAGTTTCTTGATCCTCCTTCGAGCTCGAGCCATGCTGATCCGTTGCCCACTCTTCGTAGTATGTGAGTGTCTTGATCCTCCTTCGAGCTCGAGCCATGCTGATCCAAGTCGTTGCCCACTCTTCGCAGCGTGTGAGTGTCTTGATCCCCCTTCGAGTTCGAGCCATGCTGATCCAAGTCGTTGCCCATCCGTTGACAGGATGTGAGTGTTGATCCTTCTTCGAGCTCGAGTCTTGCTGAGTGAAAGAATTGCTGATCCATCGGCAGAATGTGAGTATATCCATCCCTCACCGGCCTTGAGTTATACTCACCGAAAGAATGCCTGATTCTTTGATAGCTTGTAAGCGTGATCATCCTCAGTCGACCTCCTGTCCCGCTCACTCACGCAACTGTTGATCCATTGTCAGGGTGTGAGTTTCTTCATCCGCTGTCGACTTTGAGCCCTGCTGACCAAGTACGTTGGGTGATTTGTTGACAGATTGTGAGTTGGTCTATCCGCTGTCAAGCTCAAGCCATGCTTACTGAAAACATCGCCCACCCGTTCACAGGATGTGAGTTTGTCGGTCCGCTGTTAAGCTCTAGCCATGCTGACGGAAGACATCGCCCACCCGTTCACAGATTGTGAACGCATCGATCCTCTGTCGAGCTCCAGCATTGCTGACCGGTGAAATTCCCGATCCACGTTGACAGCGTGTGAGTGTGTTCTTCTGCCGTCGAGCTCGAGCCTTGCTCACTTGTGACATTGCTCGCTCACTCACAGGATGTCAGTGTTTCAATCCTCCGTGGAGCTCGAGCTTTGCTTATCACTCACATTGCGCATTCCTTAACAGACTGTGAGTGTCTCATCCCTCGAGCCTTTCTCACCAACGACATCGCTGATCCATTCATAGGAGGTGAGTTTGTTCATCCTCCTTTGGCCTTGAGCCATGCTGACCGAAGACTTTATTCATTGACAGATTGTGAGTGTATTGGTCCTCAGCAGAGGGTGACGATTTTCAACTTTCCATCATCGCTTCAGCTTCTCGGTGATCAACGTGCAGAGATGCGGTCTAGGATACTCTCTGTGGTACGTTCAATTGGTCACAGGCTGTACACACATGTTTAAATGTACCAGACTTCTGTCATTGCATCACCACTGGAGCGAATTTTTCAGCTTGGTTGTGGTGAATCTTCAGGCCGCATTGCAGTGAACTTGCTCATTTTCAATCATTTAGCTGCTCTCATTATTTTCGAACACTCTTTCTTCGTTTTCGACCAGCGACGCCATGCTAAGGACCAGCAAAAATATTATGTTCATGTCGCTCTCGAGCGGTATATGGCGTCTCCGCATGCAATTGCTGTCAGGGACGCAGTGAACACTGCCGTCTACGCAAATCAAGGAAACTCGAGTAATTGGAAAGCAAAGCTACTGTTTGGACGTTTCCGGAGGAAGGACAGACAACCTAAGGATTACTCGGGTTTACTCGAAACCATTCTTAAAATCGCTTTAGAACATCGCCTGCGTATGTTTTAACTCTCATGATTTTGGCAATCCCGCTGATTTATTTGTCTTCAGCACGACCTTGATGTGAGTCAATGAATCACGACGTAGGTGATGCTTGGAGTCATATTATGGAGGCAAATGAGGGTTTCTAGAATGGTCTGTCGAGGGCGGTTCAAGTTTTGAGGGGTGTGGCGCTGTCGGGTTTGTACAATCACGCAATTACAGGACTTTCTTTCTGGTATGGTGTATATATGTGTGAAGCATGCTGGTCATTTAGCTGAGACAGCGGTTAGGCCTACTATGTCTCTAACAGCAGCTTGATGTATCTCCCAACTATTTCTGGTCCGATTGGTTGGGTCAGAGCTGGGTATCATTCTGCTGCAGTGTTTCTCAACTTGCGTGAATTTTTCATAAAGACATCCTGTTTATTGTCATTTCATAATTATACTCTACAGAGACACGTGGAACGTCCCCGACAACATCAGTGACTCTAGCTAGTGGCTTGGTAGGATCTCTGGAAAGCCTGCAACTTGGTGGATAATCATTGGCTATGGACTCCAAGCAGCAGACGCACCTTGGGAATGTCCAGCTGTCATTCTTTGCAGGGACAGCATGCAGATTATCATGGCTCTGGCCTATGAAGTCAAGGTAGATGCACTAATCCCACATACGTTAAGCATTTGCGCTCTGTGCACCCAAGGCCCACGGTTAGGGTGCAGCATTAATCGAAACAGCCGAAACGAGCAGGATGTGAGGTTCAATAAACCCAGGGTGTTCCACCCTTTACAATATTGCGAGCCACTGCCTGAACGTCACTACCCTCAGGCCTCATCCTCATTTCACTGCTGTCAGACAGTGCAACATGCGAGAAGTCACTGAAATGAAATGAACTCACTGTCCGCCATGCACAAGACCCGAAACCGCTCTTATATAGTTCAGGTCGCCGTTCAGGAATCCTGGAACTCGACTGACAGCTGTTCTGCGACAAGATCAGCGAGATATTCGGATTCGTGACTTTGGCACGCCGACTCAGGACGTCCCATTAACACTCAACTTCATCTAGATTCTTGTCTTCCACCTGGCCCATGAGTGTCTTAGGTTGAACTCCGCGTTACGTTGCGCAACGGTGGGCCTCGCTGCAGCAATGTATGACCATGGGTCTGTTGGCGAAGGACTCCACATATGCTGCACTACTTGCTAGTCGCGCAATACCGAAGTCTACTCGATATCTGCACGTTTACCGCGCATGCCCGCCTTGTGACGGAATCGAACAAATTTCTGCGCCAATACTATCTGAGCCGTAACGAGTCAAGGCTTCGGTATACTCGAGCAACGAGGACGTTAAGTGACTGCCGTAAGTATGTCATGGTTATCACGACTCAAATTGCTGGGGACGTTAGGAGCATCGTTAAGCATCAGGTGAGGTTCCTTCCGTGTGATATGGATGTCAGAGTTCATCCAGAATCATCCTTGAGTAATTAAAGCCGAGGAATGTGCTGGGTGTCTGGTCCTGTGCGTGTGATATCGTCAGTCACCTCCAAAACGAATTTGATGCAGACTCACAGAAGGAATTAGGACAATGCGCAGAAGCCGTCGAAGAACCACAAAATAGCCCCATATTAGTGATTCCCACAGGTACACATTCGAGTCATCGCAACCTGCGGCCAGCAACTGTCCATTAGCGGCGTTCAGGTGAGAGTGGGTGGGTCAAGAATTGATCGGACAGTCAAACGGAAACACAAACTCAGCGGAAAAGGTTGGGTCGACTCACACGAAAGTTTCAAATTCGAGGGATAGACCGGCTGGAAGGTTTTTATGAAGATTCCACAGCGGTCATTGTAAGGCCTGATAGTGGGTTCGGGGGGGAAAGGTAACGAGACAAGGTAGATATGAGACGTGTATTTTCGACAACACAAAGTCTAGGATGAGACGTTTAGAGAAGAGGACTTTCTTTGAGGCGTTCGGTCGTGCCCGGAGCCAGGATTCAGCGTATAAGATTCTGTTGGCTGTATGAATGTACATGGGCTGTATATATTACGTTTTGCGAACGGTTGACTGGGCCAGAATCCGCGTGAGGAGCATGGCGAGGTGGAAATACTCGGTGAAACAAGGGGATCGTGAAGTATGAGCACAAGGTAGAACGGGAAGGTTACGCTCTTCGGATCAGGTCGGTGCGTAATGAATACTGGATCCTTACGGCACGCTCCGTCTGGGTTCGCCGCTCTTGACAGGCTATATGTACTCTACTAGTGCCATTCAGGATGACCTTTCCCGTCTCGACGTCCCAGAGCCTCACCATCCCAGATTTTGGTCAATAAATGGTTGTCTGATTTTTTTTTCGTACTTCAGCCATTTCGCTCAGAGCATGATGTCACTCACTGCAGTGCCAGCATATACCACTCCGAAGACCTCGGCTCCACAGAAGAACGGACGGACTAATTGAGGAGACTGGATGTTTGGTTCGGAGTTGAGAGAATTGACACTGTACAAAGGTGCGTTATTATCTTCACAACTTAACAGTACTGTGGAGACGAAGCACTTAAGTTGTGCCTCGGTTGGCGCCGTGCTGCATCGTGTTCTACCCTCACCTGTGGTAGTGCTGTGAATAGATTCTCAGACACCCTATCAGTCTACCCTATATCTTGAAAATACAATTACAATTCACTACACAGCGAGACCTGTGTGTGGATGACAGCCCATTTTGTGCATGTATGTGTTCGCCAACTTACTCTGGCTCACGATGGCTCTCCACCAACATGCTCTTGGGTTTTGCGCTTTCCTCTGCGCCAATCACTTGTCATTCCATATATTTGCATCTGCAGCTGCAATTGGATTATCTGGCCCGCGTGGATTCAGGCTGTGCGCCCTATGATTAGAGCCTTACGTTCGCAAGAATCCTGCATCGCTCCTGGCATTGCTCTTTTGTGTATGATGGTATACGTTATGGGTCTTCTCATGCCTGATTGGTATCCATTTGATTTGATTTTCGTACGTCTCTTCCATCGTGCCACTCAGTTGTCATTTACTACAAGGTATTCTGTTGAACTGCTCTACCGCTGATTCATGTCCTTCTTGGTGTACCCAGGGTCTAACTGGCTTTGCCTGACTTTACCCCGCTGATAGGTTCTCGATGTGTGGATCACAACTTTTTTTTGGAGAACGTGGATCCCGATAACTGCGCCGGTGCCCAGCAAAATACCCTTTCTGGGTGGTGTCTTGCCAACTTAACATGCTCTGATGTAACCGGTGGAACGGAGCGACCCAGGTTGGAGTGGCAGAGTGTCAGGAGTCCAGGGGTCGCAGCAGATACACGCATGTACAGCATGGATACAGACAAGCATCCAGCATCTTCCTCAGTTCATCGTTCCAGAACGCAGTGCTGACCAGTCCACCGGAGCTGCAACTGCCCCGACCGCACTGATGCTCCTGGATTAATTTGTCGGTCGACGTCCACGGGATTCGGCATTGCCTGGATTAAACATCTTATAAATGACCCTTAAGCAGAGCGATTTATCGCCACATTCACTAGCATGAGTACTTCTCCAGGGTCTCAAGCTGACGTACTCTTGTGGTCAAACGTGAGTACAGCTTCAGTTGTCGAGTATCCTGGATCGCTGATGTATCGTCAAAGTACTGTTATGGTGCGGCCGTAGTCCATTAAATGAGTTGCTTTCGTTGATCTGTATTTCGCATCTCGACAGTTGCATTGACATCACTTTGGGTGAGTTATTGACGTTATCCTGCAATGACTCATGATTTCACTTTAATCGTTACATTCAGGTATACGACTACATACTCTGCATGGCTGACTCGGCAAGTGGAAATTTACTTGAACGTCCTATAGGGGACTCTGAACTGTAGTTGGCGCAGATCACGTTTATTGTCGAGTCTCGGCGCGGGCTCGGCACAGTGTTTTATCTCTTCTGCATGTTCTCGCCATCTGCCTTCATATTACTGAATATGCTTGGTGAGTATTGGATTGTCACCTCCATACTGCCCTCGAGGTGTAACGTGTTCATGATGTACTTCAGTGACTTTCCTGCCTCGTGGCTCACCCATCGTATGGTCAAGCGTTGCAAATATATGAATTTAACTCATACCCCATCATAGCTTTGTCACTGGTTATATATGCTAAACATCTGTGAGTCTAATGATGGTTTACCCTGATACATACCTACTCTGGGTCAAACACTTCATTAGGTGCAGGGTTTCTGTCGATGTTTTCCGCTGAGTGTAGGTTTTCCAATCGAGCTAGCTATCATTGATCCTGTCCTCTAACATCTACACTCTCTGATGGACCAGGCATCTTCATGCTCAGAACGGTCGCAGTATGGGAGCGGGATAAAAGGTTCGTGGTGTGCAAATTCTTCAACATGATTGTGAGACCAATGCTGCAACCAACTCTGTACAACGATCAATGTCTGACTCATCCTTTGCAGGCCTATTTAGTGCCAATCGTTGTTTGCTTTTATGAATTTATTGTATCAGCAGGTGTGTGAATCTCTTGGAGTCTTTTCCTGCTCAGCTCTCAACGTCTAATTTCTTTATATAAGGAGAATGCTCGATCCCTGGGGGTATCAGATATGTGGAAACAAGGGGAAGGCATTCAGTGGTTGCCGTGTGGTGCATAATAATTGTTGCAGAGTTAGGTTAGTATTGGGAGCTACCACCCGAACACGAGCTCGGACTAACTTGATGCATTCGCATTCACGCACTTTCAGACACATTGGGGTGTGCGCTGTATCGCTCCTCCGAGGGTCATGGTGGCTGGAGGATCGAGAACCGACTTCTGCGCGGTCTCATTTATCACAAACTACTATACTTCGGCTGCAGCTTTGGTTCGTGCTCAACTCATTCTCGAATATCCATTGTTTACTTGCTAAACGGTACAGCCTTTTCTCTCAGTGTCATCCTCGCTACAATCTTCCTTCCGGTAAGCCACTCACTGTGCACAATCAAAGCCGCCCCATTAACGTGAGACGTAGTTTCCGGTGGTACACGTGATTGCTGAGTTTGTTTATTCTCACTTTGGAGAAGGTTATAGTTACTTATTCGGCAACAGGACTCAGGTTGTTGTTCTATCTCTCTTGGTCACGCGAATGCACAGGGACTTTTGGAGATCAGATCGTACCGCTCGTGGCATTGATGGAGTGGATATCTCTCTCTCAACGTTCATGGCAGTAAGCCCAGATGTTATGTGGTGGGTACTTCCCTCTCCGAAGCATCGCAAGGCTAATATCCGATCGAGGAAAGACTCTCAAAAGACGGGAGTACCAAACAATTCCAAAGGGCCTATCACTAAGCTTGATGGACGAAGTATTTATTACCAGTAGACTAGATCTCTTCTTGTACGGCTTAACCAGATGATTGACGAATAGCAAGTAGTGTACGGGTATCCGATTTAAATTCACTATGGACCCCTTCTAGTATCAAGCTCCAACAGACTCCCTGATATCCACACACACATTCTTCTCCACCGACCCACGAATACTTGACGTACTCTCCTCACTCACCTTCTCAAGGTTTGGCACTGGACCCGTGAACCAATGCACGCCGCCATACACAGGGCAATAGTACCACATAATAAACAAAAAGAGTATACCACCTAGCACGACCACGGTGTAGTTCATGTTCGCAACGTCGGTTTGTGGCGTCGTCGGGAAGAAAAACACGATGTCCATAATGAACATGTACGACACCGCAATGACAGCAACTGGAAGGCTCTTCAAACCACAATTCAATGGTCAACAGGCATCCGAAAGTACCTATGAGAACATACAAATGGTCCATGACGGCGCAAGGAAGCTTAGAATGAATGCGTAACCATCCGACCAACCATTCACTATAGATATCATTCTGGGATCAGTCAGGTTCACCAGCGGAATGTGTTCACTGACAATTTGTGAAATCACCAAGTGCATAGCTTGCGCTGTTCATGTTCGCCTTCGAGGTGGCAAGAAGGCCAATGATAACGGCGAGACATAAACTACCCGGAATAATTCAGCATTTCGAGTGCGCCTGTACGACTTCAGCACAAACCAGATGTTAAGTACAACATAAATTGTTTGCAGTCTTGCAAGAACAGCAGTTCCCATGCAGCATATCACTGCGTGTGACAGGACTATTGCAACATAGACTGCGCTAGATATTCGACATAATGAGCAGGTTGATTGACTGGTTCGGTGTCTTGAATTACGCACAAAGTTTGCGCACTCGTTGCGGTGAAAGTTTGGCCTGAGCCGATGGATACTGCAGCCATGACTTGCACTGCACATCCCCAATCGATAGATGCTATGCAGAATGTCATTCTAAGAAAAATATAAGACGAAAATGAGCGTCTTACCGACAGATGCTATGGTCCCAACGGTGTTTGAATCTGTTATCAGGTCATTATACTTCTGCTCGTTAAAATCACCATAAAGTCTTACAGCCAACAATCCAGGCAAGCAAGTTTCTACACCACGGAGATGACAAGGAATGTGTCCAGAAGTATAGCTGTAGTACATCCACGTCACTCGAGAATACCACGTCAACGAAGACAAAACAGACTCACGCCTCCAGATGTTGGCGCTGCAGAACCCAATTCTGCCATTGACATCCCTATTTCGGTACTTGAAGCGGGTAGAGAAGTCGGTCAAGAAATATAATTACAGTATCTATAAAGTTTTGATGGATTATAACGGAGACAACTACAGTATGCACATGGCACTCACCAGGCTGATGTATTATGATATATGGGGCCACTCGTGGATTCGTTCCTGAGCATGAAGTTTGTACAGCAGGGGGACGTTGTAGGGTGCAGTATCAATCGAAGCAGCCGAAACGAGCAGGATGCGAGGTTCAATAAACACATGGTGTTCCACCCTTCGCGATAATGCGAGCCACTGCCTGAACGTCACTGCCCTGAGACCTCATCCTCGTTTCACTGCTGTCAGACAGTGCAACATGCGAGAAGTCACTGAAATGAAATGAACTCACTGTCTGCCATGCACAAGACCCGAAAACGCTCTTAAATAGTTCAGGTCGCCGTTCAGGAATCCTGGGACTCGACTGAAAGTTGTTCTGCGGCGGAATCAGCGAGACGTTCGTATTTCTGACTTTTGCACGCCAACTTAGGACTTCCCAACAACACCGGACTTCGACTATATCCTCGCCCTCCACCCGTCCCATGAGCATCTTAGATTGAACTCCGCGTTACTTTGCGCAACGGTGGGCTCGCTCCGACAACGTATGACCATGGGCCTATTGGAGAAGGACTCCCCATATGTTGCACTTATATGCTAGCCCGACTCCGCGCAATACCAAAGTCTACCTGATACCCGGATTGACCTCGTAAGCTCGCCTCGTGATGGAATCAAAAAAAATTCTGCACCAATGCTATCTGGACCGCAATGAGTCAAAACTTAGGTATGTTCGGGCAACGGGGACTTTGGGTGACTGCCATAAGTATGCCGTGGTTATCGCGATTCTGATTCCTGGGGATGTTGCGAGGATCGTTGGGCATCGGGTTGGGTTCCTTCCGTGTGATATGGTAATTAAAAGACGGGAGTGTGCTCAGTGTCTGGTCCTGTGCGTGTGATATCGTCAGTCACTGCCACTTCTAAAATGAATTATTGGTGCAGACTCACAGAAGGAGTTAGGACAGTGCGCAGAAGCGGTTGACGAACCACACGTCTGGGTGAGAGTTGGTAGTCAAGAATTTTCTCGGACGACATGACTACCCGAGGAAAACAGTTGTTTCTTCAATTTCCCAAGATGATGGTCCGTTTGCGTTTGAACTTTGCGCCCTCGATACTACTACCTTTGTTCTAGAACAACCCGGGCCATTGCCTTATTCGAATTCTAGAACTGCTCACTTGTTCAACATTCGACAATTTTGAGTTCACATCCACCACCGACCCAATTTCTTGAAATCTACGCACAGCTCGCCGCGTCATTTCCCTTGGAGATATCCAAAGACTGGCCGTGTTTCAGTGTTCGATTTCCTGCGCTCAGCGTTAATGAGGATCTATTGCGACCCCGATCCCGGTTGATTTTGTACTCATTGAGTTATTCGCAAGACTCGAGACAGCGCGGGGAGGGAGTTACATCGGAGCAGTCCGTCTTTTGAATATTGTTCTGTTGCTCGTGTTGGTACTTCCAGTTACGTCGTTTGCATTCCTCGTTTAACTTTTTATTTCGCTTTAGTAACATGGCAGACGATGTCGAGTTGTGGCGAGCAGCCTTACAACGATGTCTCCCTAACCATTCTGATCTATTACCCATCGCTCTCAAACAGCTTGCCATCAGCCTTGTATGCAGATTCCAGCAACGGAGCATCGTATCTGACCTAGATGAGGCCATCAATCTCCATCGAGCTGCACTACAACTCCGTCCCACTGGCCATCCTCATCGATTCAGTTCTCTCAATGACCTTGCCATTGCTCTTCTTCTGAGATTTCAGGAACGGCGCGTTCTGTCTGACTTGGATGACGCCATTAAGCTTCATCGAGCTACATTGGCTCTCCATCCACCTGGCCATCCTTGTCGGCCCATATCTCTCAGCAACCTTGCCGGCTCCCTTCGCAATAGATCCATGCAGCTGGGTGTCATTGCAGACCTAGATGAAGCCATTGCGCTTGGCCAAGCTGCACTGGAGCTCTGTTTCCTGGTCATCATTTGCGACCCGCGCTTCTGAACAGCCTTGCGGATAGTCTTCTACACCGATTTCAACTGGGGGGCGTCCTGTTTGACCTCGATGAGGCCGTCAGGCTCAATCGAGCTGCGCTGGCGCTCTGTCCCCCTGGCCATCCTGATCGATTTCTCTCTCTTAATGGCCTTGCAAACATCTTGTGGCCAGATTTCCAGAGCGGCGTATCCTTTCTGACCTAGATGAGGCCATTAATCTCCATCGAGCTGCACTAGCGCTCTGTCCCACCGACCATCCTCATCGAGTGGTGTCCCTCAACAACCTTGCCATGAGTCTTGGAAACAGATTCCACCATCAGGGTATTCCGTTGGACCTGGATGAGGTCATCGAGCTCCATCGAGATGCTCTGGTGCTCTGTCCGCCTGGCCATCCTCTTCGATCTAGTTTTCTCTACAACCTTGCAAACAGACTTCTAGACAAATTCGAGCAGCGTAATGTCCTGTCTGACCTAGATGAGGCCATTCATCACAATCGAGCTGCGCTGGCGAACTCCCCCGTAGGTCATCCTGATCGATGTGCTTCTCTCCAAAACCTTGCAAGCAGCCTTGGAGTCAGATTCCAGCAGCGGGAGATCCTATCAGACCTAGATGAGGAAATTGAGCTCCGTCGAGGTGTTCTGGTGCTCTGTCCCCCTGGTCATTTTCATCGATCCACATCTCTCAGAAGCCTTGCCCTCAGCCTTCAATATAGATCCAAGCGGCAGGATCAGACATCAGACATGGATGAGGCCTTCAGGCTTTATTCCCAACTTTCCCAACCATCTCATTCGGTCTCTCGTAATGACATTCGTGCTGCCGAGTGTTGGATTGCCTCTGCTGAGCAGGCGAAACATGGCTCTGCACTGGTTGCCTATCAGACAACGTTGAAATTCCTAGATCAGTATGTCGCTGTCTTGGCGTCCTCATCCAACCATTTCAATGCGGTCAAGGGGGCCACTTCATCCATTGCAATGGACGCTTTCTCGTGCTGTGTTCGCTATAGCACTTTGATGACTGCTGTTGAATTGGTAGAGCAAGGCCGTGCGGTACTATGGACCCAGCTAGCACGCTTCCGCACACCCCTGGATGAACTTTCCGCATCAGGTGACACCGGCGAAGCTTTGGCGGAAGAGTTCAAGAAACTCAGTATTCGTCTTCGTAGCGTGTTTGATGCGGCTACTGAAGACCAGTCCTCACAAATCCGGCAACTGACCATGCAGTGGGCCGATGTTGTTTCCCGCATCCGCCTCCTGCATAACTTTTCCCGTTTCCTCCTGCCTCCGCTGTTTTCCGACCTCCAGAAGGCGGCAGAAGATGGTCCAGTCATTATTGTCAACGCAAGCAAATATAGCTGCGACGCCTTGATTGTCATGAGCACCCAAGATCCTATCCTCATTCCACTTGATATCACACTCGCCGAGGTCTCCGAGTTGTCATCCGAGTTCCAATCTCTCACAGCGCGTGTTGGTTCTTCTGATCATCGACTCGAATCACACAAGATTGTTGGCATCCTGCGCAATATTTGGTCCCGCATCGTTAGCCCCGTAGTCGGAGCTCTCAGGGAGTTGATTGTCCATGGCTCACGCATCTGGTGGTGTCCCACCGCTGGGTTCACGATGCTTCCTCTACACGCAGCAGGACCCTATGAGAAGAAAAGGCATAATTTGTCTCATTTTTACGTATCCTCTTATACCCCAACTCTTGCGGCACTCATTCGCGCGCGACAGCGTGTTTCTCAAGATGCGTCCGTGCAGCATTTCGTCGCCGTCGGCCAAGGAAATCCGGAAGGAGGAAAGGAATTGCGATGCGTGGCTGCTGAGTTAGCCATCGTCGCTGAGCGTGTCGAGCCCATCCTGTCCTTCACATCACTCGCAGACAATGATGCGACAGTCCGTGGAGCATCTGATGCATTTAGTCGCAACCAGTGGCTTCACCTTGCCTGCCATGGCATGCCAAATCGGAAACAACCATTTGAGTCCTCCTTCGCAATGCGTGATGGCCCTTTCACCATCAAGGACATCATCCGGTCCCGCTTGCAGAATCCGGAGTTTGCATTCTTATCGGCTTGCCACACCACTGTGGGCGATGAATCGAGCCCCGATGAGGCAATCAACCTTGCTGCAGCAATGCAATTCTCTGGATTTCGCAGTGTAATAGGTTCGATGTGGTCCGTCGATGACGAAGTTGCGCGCCAGGTCGTTACTGCGTTTTACGACAACATGGTTGATGGTTCGGGGCGATTGGACTGCAGGCGTGCTGCGGCAGCATTGCACAATGCTGTGAAGTCGTTGCGGAAGAAGATTCCACTTGAACAGCAGATTGTATTTATTCATATAGGTGTCTAGTTTGAGACACGTGCCTGCCGCGAATGCAGAATGTCTTGTCCACCGTCCATTGGAAAGTGTTCACCAATAGCACGAGTTTTTCTACATTGATAGCGAGTCCTATATTAATTGGAGGCTCGGTGTGGACGATGATTGCATGGCAATGCGACTTGCTTGCAATGAGAACAATGATAGGCCCACCGCGAGCGAAACGAGACCTTTGTGATTTCTGCGATTAGTTAATATCATCAATCCACAGCATCTGGGATGGTATACGTATGCTGTTTTCAGTCTAAGTTTTAACAGATCGCCGGGGGTAAATTTGTCTGACCTGTAGGAAGACTGAATAGCACTGTGGATAGTGATTCCAGTGAAAATCATTAGCCAAAATCAGCACCAAACGTAATTAAAAGCATAGCACAATGAGCTGAAAACAAAGTGCTGAAAGTTCCGAATTTTACTCTGAAATTACAGTTGAAAATCAGTTGAAATTGTGCTGCAGTCGTGCCAAAAGAAATGTTGCCCTGAAGTCACATCACATGATGAATTTGACCTATTATATTTCGCATCTGGCAAGGATTGAACCCAGGACCTCAAGTACTCATACATGCAGCATCATTACCGCTGAGCCACACAACCATTTATATACCTCACAATAATAGCAATATATACCAACGCTGTGGTCACATGATAAAAATGCGAAAATTCCTAAGTCCGTCACAACTATCTCTGTAGCACTACTACTCTCAGTTGTAATCCAAAGAGAAAAGAGAGTAAGACAGGCATTTACAGAGCTGCAATCAATTTTGTACTGAAAGGATGTGCTGAATCGAGGGTGATGCGCTGAAATTCAGAATCAGCACTCCAATGAAATTAACTACATGCAGTTTCAGTGGAAGTTACTCTGAAACATTCAGCATCAGTGCATTTTCCAATGATTTTCATTAGAACCACTATCCACAGTGATAGAATGACATTCATCAGCAAACTACCGGGTGCCTGTACAAAATTGCACAATTTTGTGCAATTTTGTACAGACTCACAGAACCTACAGCTAAGTCCCCTCTTTGCAGGTTTGTACAATAGGCCTACAATCTGTAGAATTTGTTACAATGTGGACAGATAGCCACAGGATGTGCAACATGTCTGAACTGCACATCATGTATGAATAGTAGTAGCTGCACATGGGGAACATGATCATACAAACAGTCATCATGATTGTGAAACTAAATGAAAACATCGAGCATTGAACAGCGCATTAAAGTATGATATTGATGTCCCCCGCGTCACTGCCTGCACCACTCCCATCTGCATGCCAATCAAATTCGCCCATACCAATCTTAGCCCATTGCTCCAACATTTCTTCGAGCTCTTCACGACGTTCCGGGATGTCGAGCAATGTGTTGACGGATTTCTGCAACTTGTCGAAGTCGGTCCTGCATCTATCAGCGCTGAGTTGAGGAACTTTGTCGCTGCCGGTGTCGCTGAATCCAGAAATAACGCCCTTCATCTATTGCAACATCAGTGACGAAAAACAAGATAAAAAACGACATAGCGCACGACCGCCGCCACGAGAATGAGAGCATTGATGGGAATTGTCTGGCGGAAGTCGTCCGTGTTCTTCAGCGCCTTCTTGCTGTTGCTGTAGAAGAACTCGAGACACATCCTTGAGAGCCTGCGATACAAAATTCTTGAATTTGCCCTGCGAGAGAAAACAGTGAGTAGCACTATTGACACGAGGGATCACCTACATTAGACGAATCAGGGATCCGGAGGTAATCACCGGTCTTGAGCAGTGCGGTGGCAGCTGTGACGATATGTTTCTTTATTTGCTCTGGTAGCATTGCAGTGCCCTTCGGGAAGATGTCGTACGACAATTTGGCGATGGAGATGACAACCTTCTTAAGCTCTGTACGGAACGTGAAGAGATCATCGCAAAGCTAATCAGCGTATCAGCGAGCACGTTCACCATCGATAAATGAAAGACTTACCAGCCGGCACATCTGTGGGCTATATTCCGGAAAGTAGCCTTGCAGTAAGACATGAGATGACTGGAAGAAAGCGGCAGTACAAGGAGAATTTACCGTTCTCAAATTTGAGCTTCTTCTGGTGGCATAGCCACAACTCAGCGTCCAAGACTTCTTGTGCCAGTTGCACGGCATCCTGGTGTTTTGGAATGGGATGGGTGAGAATAGCTTGCAATCGCATCTGCAACTTTGCTGCCTGCAGAAATCCTTGCCAACAAGCCGGATAAAACCCAAGCTTGGAAGGGTTCTCTTGGTTTGTCTTGACGTTTCGTGTGCGGCGAGCACCAGCGGGCGTAGGGCTATGAGAGCGTGAACGACTAGGAGTAGTTGCATGGTCAGAACGAGTCCGCAACGGAGAGTGTCTGTGGGAAGAGGGCAGTGCACGACTACCAGAGGAAGTGAGTGGCCGAGATGGGGAGCGCCGACGTTGAGACTTTGTATGCAAAGAAGACTACGTGGATGTTACTTGATGATACAAGCGTTGGCGTGGAGACCTGGAGCGAGTGGAAGACTTATGCGAATGAGGCAGCGAGCGTCTACGTCGAGAAGGTGGCGCTTGAACGGAAGAGGCACCCCCAGATGGCGCATGTTGACGAGATCCCGAGCGGCCATTACGTTGAGACAGGCGTTGACGAGGAGATTTCGAGCGGTCGTTACGTCGAGATGGGCATTGGTGAGGAGACTTAGAGTGAGTAACTTTTGAAAGATATGATGGCGAGGGAGCCTTGCGTTGTCCGTTCTGCGCTTGATGACGTTCGAGAACATCATAAGTCTCCTACACAGAACATCAATGAGTGAATACGATCGAATAGATGAGAGTACATTATCATGGCCCTCCACATTCATAGGCTCGTCCTCCCAGTCACGCTCTTGACCTAGATCCCCTCCATCTGAATCCACTCCACCCCCTCCATCTAAATCCCCTCCGTCTAAATCCCCTTCGTCATCGCCACCGTCTTCAGACGGTGCACCTAAGCGTTGACCGGAATTCTCGCTGTCGTTTAAATGCTGATCTTGCTCGGCTCCATCCCTGCAATGAATATGTTAAGAAGCCACAGGCGAAAAAGGATTAGCACTTGCATATCGTTGTGCTCCTCAAGGTCAGCACGTTCATGCGAGTGGTGCGCGGACTCTCTATTGTTGTTGTTGTCTCGTTCGTTTGCCTCCTGTGTGGCCATTCTGCGATTGCTTGACTGAGATGCCCTCTCGATACGATGTACACTGGTAGTAGATGTAGGTGCCTTAAATCCGAACCTGTCAGAAGAGCAACTGGTACGTAGCACTGGACGAGGAGAAGTGTAGGCTGAATGATGCCTCACATTGTCGCCGGACTTTTGAGATGATCGCTTAAGATTTTTACTCGTAGTTGGAGGTGTCGTGGATGCAGGTTTTTGCTTGGTAGCGTTTTTTGCAGCCAGAGGTTTTGCAGAAGCCTGACAAGATCATAGCTCGAACATCGTCAAGATAAAATGAACTTACACCTTTCTTCCCCTGACGCAGCTGCGCAGGAGCCATTGAATTTTCTTCAGGATCACTGGCGTCAAGCTCAGGGTAATCATTTTGCCCTTTCCGATTCCTCGCCGGTGCTGCTATAGCTTCTCCAGCTTTTTGGAGCTGTGCTGCGTGGCCGCCAACACCGCAATTAGATCTTGAGCTTTGTCGACAAGGTGCTGGCTCATCTTGATCATTGACCGTAGAACGTCTAGCCCTCTTCTTGGGAGGCATCGAGCAATATTGTCAGCTGCGACTGCGACAAAGCTGTGAGGAACATTGCAGGTTGGTTAGTTATTGATCTCACGTAAGCGTATGTTATGTAATCAGTCAGTATGCGATACAAGGTACAGTGGGCATCCTCAAAACAAACGAGATTCACAGTAGACCGAGGGAAAAATGTATGAGTAAAGTCGCCAGGACAAAACAAGTAGGCTCGGACAAGGACAAATAGGTTTGGAAAGAAAAAGGCATGGTAAAACTCGGATCGAGATGACAAACTTCTCTCTAGTACTATCTCATCGTGTCTTAGAAGCAAGTCGCTTAGAACGACGTGAGCCTGGCTGACTAGTTGAAAACCATATTGTGCCACTACGTGGAAGGGTTGAAGGACCTGCGGTGGGCTGAAGAGTAGGAGACTCAGGAGGAGGACTGGGCAGCGGGATTGGGATGGGGATGGGGATGGGTATTTCCTCCTCGAGTTTCGTGATGAACGTTACAAGCATCTGGAGTATGTGATCGTGAATGATTGATTTACTGGCATCGAGGTCTGTGAGGTGGATATGATTGCGCCATTCATTGACTAGGGGTTTGAATTCCGAAAAATAATCGGAGACTCTGTCCATTAGAAAGTTGCCACAGGATATGGCCCCCTTCTTCAATAAGAAGGTGGTAAGCAAACCACTGGCGGCACCTAAGTTTTCATAGGCCTCCGACCATGGCATCGCCTGCTTATTCCATGTCGGTGAGACTTTACCGTGTGCCCCCCCATACTTCGTAACAAATTTGAAAAAAATATAGAACATCGACTCGAGGTCATTGCACGCGTGGTGTTCGATTAAGTGCAGCTGAGTAGGGTCAGTGTTAAGACTGTGTTCAACGGGTCGGACCGGAGGGGCTTAGCTTCAGCTCGTGCGCTGCGCTCTTTACCCGAGTACGTGCCCCTAATTTACAGGGGGTTGGATATCGTCGGCCGAAGGGTATAGACGGGCCGGACGAGAGAGAGAAGACTACCCTAGACTTCGTCCGGGTAGAAACTAACAAGGTACAGACTACCCGAAGGTTGAGGTGGAGGTATTTAGCCTTAGGGATATAATCCCGAGGCTCGGAGGATCGGACTAGGGTAATAATCCCAAGAGCCGAGAGGACACGAGGATTGAACAGAGTCTAAGTTAATATTCGAACTGAGGAAATACTACGGGTTACAAAGGGTTTATATACTGTGGTGTATCCGACGGGTTTCCGGCCGAAGCGCAGTCTTCGGATCAGAGGGCTATGTAGAAAATGTACTAACGGATATGAACTGCTGCGGACGATCGAGAATGGAGCCGGAGATTAAATGAAACAGGGGGGACAAGTTAAATGAAAAGGAAATGAATAGACTAACGGACGGATCAGAATGAACCCAGATATTAACTGTCAGAAGGATCCGGGCGTATAGGGGCATCAAGAAGCATATACAAATGGGAAATGAATTCTAGAATGGAACCGAGAGAACGGATGGACCGGACCGGACGAGAAGCTTCAGGTACGGAATATGACAGTCAGGTGTCTTTTTGATGGTCTCGGCATTCCTCGACACCATCTTAAGGACGCGCATGGAGATGTATGGGATAGTCCCCTAGAAAAAATATAAGTTCAAAAGCAAGAACAATAAACCGGAAATGAAATCTTACAGTTCCAAATGAAATCGTAGACGTCTTGCCTTCCTCTAAAAATCCGGCATGATTGAAATCGATGAAGTACCCGATACCCTCGTGAAGGATAAAATTGTTTGGGCTGAGGTCCCCGTGTAGAACTCCACGTTCGACCATGAGTCCATGAGCTAACAATACATAATTAAACCTGAATTTGACGCATTGAACTGAACTGAACTGAACTCACCAATGACAAAGTCACGAAAAGCGCATACCAGCTCCTTCCTAGAGCTGAACTCTGATAGCGGTTTTCCACAAGGGGTCATGACAAGCCGCCGGTGATATCAATTACAGAACCTGTAATCACCTCTATCGTCTGGGTCAAACCGCTGATAGCGATCACGAATTTGTGCTGTACAGTCGGGCTTCCCGTCAAACATGACATCCCAATGATCCACGAGTCGAACAACATTAGGGATGCCCTTGACTCGCTCGAGAACGGTCGCTTCATGATATCGCTTTGCCGCAGGTACCCAACAGTCCTTCATCGCATAATCCTTCCCATCAGTAGGATCTCTGACGCGATAACAAACCGTTCCGCGACAGAAGAAACCCTGACTCTTCCATAACACATCCATGATTGAGTACGTTTTACCGCTATTATTGACAACCCATCCTTGCGCCCCCTCGGCCAGAGAGGGGTGAGTACCCTTGCAAGCAACGATGCACATATGGATGGTGGGGTCGAGGCCAAAGTACATCGGATCTGCTATCGCGGTTGTGGCTATTGCCTCGAGGACACGTATTGGGTGTGTATGGATGGGGGTTGGAAGGGATATGATGAGGCCCGAGCGGTCAAAATAATGGGCGCGAAGTTTTTCTGCACAAATGGAGTAGGCGAGAACGAAGCGACGCCACGGTTGTTCTCGCATGATGAGGTACACCTTGGTGGTAGATCCACAATACACTGATAAATCAGGAGATGCAACAAAATTGCTGGAGGTGTGTTCCATGAAGCTCAAGACATCAACCCATCTCTTTTCCTCATGTTTGTTCATGTAATAGAACAGGGCGACATCGGGCTTCTGCGTGTTGTATAGGTCTGGTATGGGTGAGTTGGCAAACTCGGCAGACCAGTACCGCTCGATGGGCGAAATTTCATAGGGAAGTTTCTTCGCGTATCCAGTTCGATTACGCAGGGCCCACTGAACAGCATGGAACAGGTACTGTAAGTCCCTCTCGGTCGAACTCTTTTTCCGTTTCCTCTTTGATCCTGCCTTTACACTGCCATTGAATTCATCGTCACTCCCGCCGTCGGTCCCTTGGGAGAAGATTGTTGAACCATGAGAATCCAAGGCCTCAAGTTCTGCACGCAAATCATCCGAGTCAACGATGTCTGTATCGGTGGCGTCCCTCCCTGAACCCTTGCTCTTTTTCCTGCGGCTGTAATTCCACTTGTTTTGTATGTATACAGATGCGCCATCCTTCTTGTGGTACCTGATCTTTTCGACGTGATGATTTTGGAAGGTCGATACGGGGATGAGCGCACGGAAAATGGAGTCGGTAAACTTCATCTGGGCAAGGCCAGACTCATCAATGACATGGCCATCAAGCTCTGCCCTCAAAAGGCCCTTGACAGTATTGACTGTGCGTCCGCCTACAGGTGGGAAGCCCGCAGAGCTGAGTGATGCCCCGCAAAGGTAAGTGTCGAATGAAGTGGCGCCAGGAAGTTCGAGTGACGAGGTTGTTGTCATTGGTGGTTCACCACCGGCTGATGAGTCTGAACTGGAAGACATGCTGTGGAATGGTGTATGGTAGGAGATTTGCCAGTGTGCGATGTATCTGACTACTGAATACTAGCAGTGTCTGTGCAGCCTGCACAAGTGTGCACAGGCATGCACGGGTGTTGACGGCCTTGTCGGGATTCACACCCTGGTGTCAGCTTTGTCGGGACTCACATTCATACTACTCAAATCAACCAATTTCACTCGTTGTAACTCTTTTTGACTAGTGGGGTACAGTAAAGGTATCTATCCTTGTGAGAGGGCAGCATATATCTGTTTGTCAAAGTACTTGTTTAAGAAAAAAGATGAATGGTAATGAGCAGAATTTGCCTTTGTCAACCGTGCATCTGCCGCATGACCTAGTTGAGGAATGATATGAATGAATGCACAAAGTTGACTAAGGGGAACTATGTCACCCACTGGCGCGCCATTGGCATGTTTACAGCGTTTCAATACGTGCATCTCGGTGACTGGATCAACTGCACCCGTTTTGAAACTACGCACGTAGCACAAATATTGATCTCGCCATGTGATTCGTGAACCTCGCCGGGGAACTGGGCGCATTATGAGCTGCAATTCGCAGACACGGTGCCCTTCAAAAAAGGGGGGATGTGTCAACAATGAGCAAGATTGGTATCCCAATAAACAAACTCACCCGTCAACCCCGACTTAGGCCAATCATAGGCTCGATCAATATTGACGAGGACAGCATCCCGGCGGCCTTTTGGCCACCCACTCCCAGGAGATGGAGGGAAGGCATGCACAGTCTGTGCGGGTAAGATAATGCTGGCGTCGTAGAAGGAAACTTGTTGCAAGCGAACGGTATGCCATATCTGGATACGTTCAAAAGGAAGAACTGAGGGACGGTCGATTAGCTGTCTCCTTCGAACCCCCAACCCATGACCTGTTTCTCCGTTCCTCGCGTCACGTTGCAAGAAGTCGGAAAGAACCTCGCGTAAATCTGGTATGTTGAAGTCATTGGCAACCTCGTCGATTTTCAACCCTGTGCGAGTAGGGTCAAAATTGAGATGAATAGCGGTGGAGGCAGCAACAAATGTCCGAGGAGGGTGAGAAATGTTATCGCATCTCGCGGCAACCAACTTCTTTGCTTTGGTAAAGTAGTTAGTGGTGATGCGAGTTTGGTTCAGCTGTGCTAAGAGCGCAGTACGCGGGTCCATCGGTTCATCACAATCTCCATTGTCTTCCTCGTCTTCCTTGTCGTCCTCGTCCTCAAAGAATTCTTCTGAGTTAGAATCAGCGCAAGTACTCTTCAGTGTCGTAGCAATTGCGAAATGTCGCAGCTTCTCCTGGCGATCTAAATAACGACAAATTTGAGGATCATAGTCGTTGTTATTGGTGTGCCGCGCAGGGTCCTTAATCTCAGAAATGTGAGCGTGCTCAGTGGTGTCTGCGGACCATTGAATGAGGGCGCCAACTTTGCGTGAGCTGGCAGTGATGCTCTGCATAAGTTCGAGCTTTGGTATGAACCAGTTGTCGATAGGCTTCTTCGTCCCCATCCGAGCCCCTAAGGAGATGATAACATCTTTGTTTTCATGAAAGATCGAAAGTGATCTATCAATACGTGCCAGTAAATTCTCATCAGGCGAAGGAGACTGTGCCATGTACCGGACGTCCATAAGAGCACGGATTGCAATCACAAATCGACGAGGAGCTGCACCAGCAATCAGGCCGACAACGTAACGCTGGAGATCTCGGTGCACTCTGCCCGTGACTTGCTTCAATTTCGAAATCCCACCACAAAAGTGGCAATAGCCCGTAGTAGGCTGCAAAATTGATATGCGAAAATCCAATTCCTGCGCTCCAACAACTGTAAGGCACCATTGGAGGTCGTGATCATAAAACTCCTTGTGCCAGTGATGCAAAGGTTCGGGCATCAAGAAGACTGAAGGATCAGCGAGCGGCCAGTCCGCCCAGAAAGGAGAATGGACACCGTTTAGTCGGTATTGCTCGCATGCTTGGAAGTAAGCTTCAAGGTTGTGAGGATCAACCTTGATGCTATTGAGCTGTGCCAGGGTGATGGTGCGCGTGTGCTCGGGATGACGAAAAGTGTCCCCGAACTCCAGATATGATGCCAAGGTAAACAGCGAAGTTTTCCCGCGCACGCATGCAAGCATACATGCCTCTGGGGTGTCAACAATATATGCTGCAAGAGGCGTAAAACAGTGGCGCACGTTTCCCGCCGCGTCGGACATTATGATTCCGATTTCAGCGGCTTTCATTAGGGGCTTCAACACTATGGAAAGGCATTCGTGCATGAGGCGATCTTCTAGCATACCCCGCATCCGTGGCTTTGAATGCAAATACTGCGGGATAGGGAGGAGAGCCGTAAGCAGAAAGGCTCTGGATGAGAGCTTGGTGCGAGTGTTCATGCGAATGTTAGCGAGGCCTAACAGGAGTGGATGAGCGACCCTGGCACCAGTCATATTGGTGATATTCGTTTTGTCTGAAGAGAGTACAGTGCCTAGGACTGTCGCACCTCCGGGAAGCTGGTCCTGCAGTCCTTATGATGAGACGACACGAATAGTTAGATGCAAACCGTACATACCTGGATTTCCCAAGCAGAGTCGCCTGTCAACCACTCTGAGTATACACAAAGAAGCCGCGCTGATGTCGTGTAAACGCGGCGAGGAACAAAATCGAGCTGGTCGTGAAAAAGGGGATTACTGAAGAGACTTTCCAGACATTCCACGGGATCCCTCCAAAACAATCGGATAGGAGTTTTTGTGGGATTGAGCGAAGGAATAGTTTGACACTTCCAGCTTGGTCCCTTCGGTAGCATCTCAGCACGGCTTCGCAACTCTTTAGCATTGCGGAATGACAATTTCAACCGATGGATCTGCGCGATAATGTCAGAAAGCGCCAGCATTTGTGAAAAGGACACGCACCATAGGGAGTTCCAGAAACTGGTTGATTGCTGCCATACTGAGGGGAGAACGCAGGAGAAAATCAGCGACCTCCCACTCTTCCCTTGATGCAAAAGGGTAGAACAGGTTTTCCTTCCTGCATTCTGCATACTCATCAGCGTCAAACAGATCCAGAAGGGTCACACCGTCCACAGCATAACAAGTCCCTGCGCCCTCATACACCTCCACCTCTGATGACTCTCCTTCGTCCTCGAAATGGGCTCCATCAAAGTCAACGCTCAGCGTGTTATCTTCAGCACTGAATTGCGGGAAAATCACTTTGGACGACGTTGATTGAAGTTGATTGTTTCGAGATTGCTGCAGCGGTTCCGGCTCTACAAAACGCAAGATATCGACCATATCACGAGCGGAACTGTGGCACGACGTTCGGGGCTGACTGAGGTGTCGAGTGACACTGGATTCCTTGGTGAATAACTTTCCGCACTTTGGACAAGTTGACACCATAGTATGATTGACAGATACTGACTAGATAGCGGGCGGCAAATGAATTCGTCTCGGTTCGAGTAAGTCTCACGCCATTCACTCAGCTCTCACATATCGCATCATTGTACTGAATATTGTCCATATTGCTGCTACAGTGCTCGTGATGCCAAAATCCAACGTCAATACTGTGGCCCTTCCATACCGTCTCCGGGCCTCTTGCAATTCTGGAGTTTCTTCCCGATGTTCCTCTTACAACTCTAGAGCTTCTTCTCGAAGTTCCTCTCACAGTTCAGAAATTTCTCTGCATTTCCCATCCTCTCGCCATCATCCTGACTGCTCTCCATATCCTCGGTCCGGACAGAGTCTACAATGTTCATATTCCCCGTCACGATCGCAGCTGATCAAGGAGGAAGACGACTTCCCCACATTGATGCACCTTGTGAGTTATCCACCGATTTCAATGCTTTGTCACTCTTACATGCTTTCGGTACTGGCAGGAACGAGACTCCACATCGTTTGAAGAGGAAGATGATCACTTTGACCTCGCACTCGAAGCAGCTAAAGCCAAATGCAAAGTTTGCCAGGCTCAAAAGCTGCTGGCGGAGTGTATTTTGGAGCACCATAAGATACTTACACATCTCTGCCGCCGTCGTGCAGAGGACGCAAATTCGCGTTTATTGTTAGCTGACCTCAATGTCGGGCGCATGCATCTAGAGCGCAGAAAAGATGGTATTGCGACATATATTCAAGCATAATTGACAGTAAGTTCCCAGTTTGGGAGTGTTCTTGTACTGCGCTGACACTGTCAATTGATTCAGCTTAAAAGTGTTGTATATACTTGTAACTAGTTTTCCTCTTTGCACTTGTAAATAGCTTCAACAAAAGACCGCATTTGTATTTTCTATATAAGCTATATCATTTGTACAGTTTGTACGTCTGTGCTACTGTGTGCTTGTCAAGCTTGTCAAGTTTGGTGCCAGTTGTTGGCTATTTGCTTGTGTTGTCTGCGCTGTGTGTATGGCCTTGTGTGTTCTTGTGCGGATTTGTCAATGATGTGGGAATTGTCACCAAATTGGTAGTTTGCTGATGTTGGCAATTATAGTTCCTGCTGGTTCCTCATGTTCATGTATGCCTCATGCACATGGTTCGTTGGATGTCGTGATTTTGCAATGTACAGGCTTGTACAGTTACTACAGTACAGCCTTGAGACTTTGGAGGCGAGTTGTGTACGCTGAGCGAAAGTAATTCCTTGTAGCCTGTTAGTGTAGACTACCGATCCGTTTTGAGTGCGAGTATTATAGCTCGTCCCAAGGGGATTGCTACTGAGGGATGTCTTCGCAATAAATGCAAAGGAATCAATCCGACGGGCTTAAGATCTGAGCAGCCGGTGAGCGGTGGGGAATCCGATGTGAGAGGAAGATGTCCGGACGGGAACAATTCTGACGGGACGGGTGTCTAGCGGTGCGGATTTGGTCAAGGTGTCGAGGTAGCAAGGTATCGAGGTGGCAAGGTGTCTAGGTGTCGAGGTCTCGATGTAACGAGCTACCGGAAGTGATCCGAGGAACGGGAAGAGGTCCGTTGCGGTACGGAAGACTAAGGGGACTTGTTGATCACACCAACTTAGACAGTAAATCCAAGGGAGTAAAAGGAAGTGATATTGGTAGAGTACGATGCAACTATTTATCTTAACCCGTGAAAACTCGGGACCCACTTAAGCGACGGTAGTATAGGCGAGGCTGTAGCGCGATAATATGTAAGGGACGGCAAGCGGCCTCATGTATGGGAATGTACATGTAAACAGTCTGCTGTTTGATCAGAGTGATGAAAGGAGAGAAATAACGCACCAATGGGGATGGATGGACATGGATGGACAGGAACGAGGGGCAATTGAGGGAATCCGTCGCGGGTTGCGTACCCGTTAGGTGTCCGGGAGGGCGGGAGTCGACGGAATAGGCCGGATGAACATGGACATGAATACCTGACCAGGTGAGCTCCGGATCGTGCATAACTGGTGATTGTGAGGCTGGCGCCAGAATGTTTGGTACATCTGCGGGGGACTCAAATACTGACCGTCCCCGGTCAGTCCTGTGTGCGGAATGGACTTAGCGGTTTTCTTGTCAGAAGGTCACATGACCGTGTGACCGGCTAGTCGGAGCGAAGAAGTGCGGAGTCTTTTGCGGAGTTCGGGTGGATGGTGTGGACGCGTCGACGCGTTGTTCGTCCCTATAAATTCTCCACATCTAATCCTTCCTTTCTTCCTTCCATTCTCCATCATCTTTCCTCATGGCACCTTTCAACTTTGCTTCTGCGTCCGTCGCTACTGTCGATCCCGAAGTTGACAAACTTCAGCGTGATTTCGCGGCCCTCAAGACGCGTTTGGGCGGCGTCGTCGCGTGCATTCCTGATGAGACGGGTGATGCGGTGGAGGATAGGATTCAGTGGTTGTGGCAGTGGAAGGTTTTATCGGTACGTTGCGGTGACTTCTCCTTTCATGACGCGTCGCTAACCTTTGAATAGAGTGATCTATCCGTCTGCTCCACGGCCAGGCTTGCCAAGGGTCTCCCCTTTGATTTTTCTGAGGCGGAGGTGGCCAGCGGTAATACTGCCAACGCGGCCTTCGATCGTTTCACCGCGGAACTGAAGGCCATCGAAGAGAAGAAGGCTCGCCAGGCTACTGAAGAAGCCGCACGCAAGACTGCTGAGGCTGAGGCCGCTAGGTCCGCGGACGTCGAGGAGGAAGAAGCACCCGTTCGTGCTCCGCGACAGGACGGGAAGAGGAAGCGTAGCGAGGCGGTAGTGGAGTCCGATGACTGAGGATGTCGCGGACAAGGAGATTGTGGTACAGGTGCGTGCTTGTGTGCTTGTTTCCCCTGCATATTTTGCTGACTTCCTTGTTTAGAGAAAAACACCCGGCATAGCTCCCAAGCATGCGACCCGCTGCGTCAAGTGCGCTCAGACCGACCGCGACTGTTTTGGTTTCCCCGGGGTCGCTTGCAACGGGTGCAAGAAGTTGAAGGTCGGTTGTATCCATTCCAACCGCAAGAAGCGCCGTGTCCAGGCCGCCCCTACCCCTCCTGTCCCCTCCAGCTCTCGTTCCGGTACCATCCGTCGCCCGAAGTCTACCGTTTCACCTCCCATCGTACTTTCCGACTCTGATGGCGACGCCGAGTCCGTTATTTCCAAGGCACCCGCTTCTCCCAAGCACAAGGAGGCTGAGGAGAGTGATGATGAAGAGGAGGATGAAGTCGAAGAAGAAATTTGCGGTGCGGACAAGGAGTTCCCTAGCCTCGCCAACTCTGGACTTGGGGATGAGGAGGTTGCTATCCGGGGTGAGATCCGCCGTCTCCGCGCCAAGGCATACCAAGCCAATGCGCTGATGATGGAGGTCGCTAATGGACTTGATTTGATTGAATACCGCCTTAACCGTCGCCGTACTTAGATGCCCGGTTTATATCACTTGTACTTATAGCTTGTTTGAAGGCCAAAGTAGCCTTAGTGAATGAAGTGTCCGTGTCCGTGTCCGTGTCCATGTCCGTGTCCTGATCCCCATTGAGTGCCTGTGAGATAAGTAATAGTAAATGAGCATGCGCTTGCGATGCGGAAGAAGGTGAATGAAGACGGGTTACTTTGCGGATTCCCGTCCGTCTTGTCTTCTTCGTTGCGCTTCCCTCATCTATGCCTTCCCATGTTCCCGTGATGCGAGTCCGATAACAAAGGGGCGTGGTGCGTACGGCACGCGTGTGAAGTGAAATATAGGTATTTGGTCCGTTATACGCACTGAAAAGAAAGAGGTATTATGAGTCTTGGATATATAGGATCGATCGGGACGGATTATGATGTGGTTTCTTGTGCTGTGAGAGCGTGTCTGCTAAAATGGGTGCGGTTGAGATCGCCGGACGAAACCCGGGGTAAAACGGATACTGAATATGGTACGGAATATGTGTCTGTGCATATATATATGAGTCCGATGGTGGTGCGAAAGTGGTTATTCTTCAATGTTGATATCGAATTCTTCTTCGTCCGGCTCATAACCTGTCTTCTGCCGCTAGATTGTCCAATGCTTCATCCGTTATTCCGGTAATGCTTGTGACGGATATTTTTGTCGTGCTGCGAGAAAAATAGGGTATTAATCGGAATGCTGCATATCGTAACTTGGACACAGATCCGTCGATCTCTGCAAGGAGATATGAACCGCCTTTAGTCCGTCGAAGGACCACCATAGGACCGAGATATCGCGGCTTCGTCTTTCGACTTAGCTCCTTCTCAACTCTGGTGTTCCGTACCAATACCAGGGTTCCGGACGGGAAGTCGTAATCCTTGATTGAGTTCCGGTACTTTTCCTCGAATCTGCGGATTGACTGATACCTTGATTCGAGTACTTTGTCTTTGATGGCATCTAGGTCTTCTTGTCGTTTCTGTAGTTGGCGGGCGCGCCATGCGATGAGATCTGCGGTAGAGAACTTTTCCTGGTCCGGAAGCGCAACCAGGAAAGTTGCTTCAGCTAAATCAAACGGAAAAACCGGTTCGACTCCATGAACCATAAAATATGGTGACAATCCGGTTGACTCTTGGATAGTTACCCGTTCTGCCCAAAATACCGTATGCGTGACCTGGTACCAGCGGGATTCGTCCCCCTCGCAACTTTTCATGATGGCCTCCCGGACATCAAGATGCCGTCTCTCAACTATACCATTTGCTTGCGAATTGTATGGCGAGATGCGGATAGGGTGGATACCGTATCTGTCTGCAAGTGAATCAACTGCTGCACGGAACGCGGGTCCGTTGTCCGTGACGATCTCCGTGACAGGACCCCATCTGCATAGGATGTCTTCGAATATGAAGTCGGCCAGGATCTTTGTCGTTTCTCGGCGGATCATTCTCCATTCCGGGTATCCGGTCAAAGCGCAACGTGCTTGAACTAATCGGTCGAATCCGCCCGCTTTGGGCATCATCATCGTGTCCATGTGTGCTTTCCGGAATATTCCGTATGGGATAGGAACGGACGGGGGGATATGCAGTTT